TACAATTTTGAACTCTGACTCCTTCTCAGAAAACATAACCGATCTAATGTTTCGAGCTGGCAAAAATAAACATGAATGCTTACAGAATGACAGCTTTTCTACACTATCCCAAGCAGGCTCTACTGCTCCATTTTCAATTTAACATGTGTTACTACCACTTGGCAATGGGAAGCTTCAGCTATATATACTTCCATCATGGCTCTCAACAGTTGAGTTCCACAGCCAAATCTACCAGCAGATAAATATACTAGCTTTAATTGGCACTGCTAAGATTCCCACTCAGCTGTTGCTGAAAAATGCTATTGATACTTTCGTAAAAGCACGTTTTCAAGCACATAGAAGTGGCCTGAAGTGCAGTCATTTTCTGCCTCTGCTCCAGACAGATAACTCTGTGAAATGAATCTTAGACAAAAGTGAAATAGAGAAACCAGTGATTATGTTTCATCAGAGCATTTTAACACACGCTTAAAAAAAACCTTTCAAGTAAGTTCAAAATTTCACAAACTCCATCAAGTCAGAATTCTGAACTGGGTTTTACTGTTTTAATCCGAGTCCCTGTGAAGACACTGGAGAAAAAATAAAAATCCCTTGATTTTAACACAAGTGTAAACAATCTCTTTTGAACTTTAATCATGACCAAATAGCAGTCAAGACTCTAAGGAATTTATCCTATTTCTGCTAAGAAGTCTCTGGTTTTACCAATAAAACAGATCATGAAAAGAAACAAAGCACAACATATATCATAAGGCAAATCACATTATATTTAAAAATGCCTCTAACACACATTCCTCTACTATTTCCTATGCTCTCCTCTTTTCTGTTTCCTCAAATTTAGAATATTTCGAAAGATTTTCAGACTTAGGATTTCAAGACAAAACAAAAAAAACCCACCAATCCCATAATGAAGAAAATATTTAAGAGTTTTCAAAAATAAGCACTTTAAGGGTCAGTAAATAAAACTACATCATGAAGTGGTGCTTTAAACACAGATGTTCCAAAAGGAGGAAGACTGTGTTTTGTAATCCTGAAAATGAGGCCTTCACTCATGCTCAAGGACCATTATAAGAACAGTAGTGTTCCTCTTTATTCAGAAAAGAGTTCCATAAAAATGTATGGAATAAAAACCCAGAATTGAACACTGTAGAAGTTCATTTAGTTATGAAACTGTAAGGAAATATATTCTCTCGTAGCTCACAGAGCCAAACACAATCAGTTGTTACTGCAGCAATTAATTTTTAATGCTGAAATTACTACCTGCTTTGTGATATGTCACGTGGTCATTGACAATACTGAAATATTTAACAAGAAGCATTGACACCATCCACAAGTTTGTTTTATATAAACTCTCCAGGATAATCCCTAGGTCTTTTTGTTCTGTTTTTAATTTACAATCATAAAGCCATGTAAAACAATTCAGGCATGCTCTTTGAGGCAGATTTTTTCTTAAGTAGTTAAAAGTCTATAATTAATAACTTTTTGTTTAGGTTTGTCAAAAGATTTGTGCAGCAACTATAAAATCCTCATTCTATGATACACTGTAATAACCTTTCTAAATTCAGTGCTAACTTTATCAAACCTATTTCGTTTCTCTCAAAGCAGTGACAGCACAGTTACTGTGCCCAGTTATACTGCAAACTCAAGAACCCGATATGTTCATAGAGGAGCCTTTCCAAAAAGCACACCTTTAGTTCCACAAATGGTGTGCCTCTTCCTTCGAGAAAAACAAATCACCAATGGTTCAAGAAAAAGAATAAAGGAGATGCTCTTAAAAGGGCAAGTAAACAAGGTATGAAACCTTGTATCAGGTATGAAACATGATGTCAAAAGTTTTTCCATTCTAGGCATATCTGAATTTTACCACAAATCTGGCATTCACACCTAGAGCAGACAGACTAAAGAGCAAAACAGTTACTATTGGTTAAAAAAAAAAAAAAAAAAAATTCAATTGATCAAACCACCAAACAAAACTTGGTGATATTTCACGTCCGATAAATTCCATAGTTTGCTGCTGTGGAACTGAACGAAGGTGAGAACAGCTCTAGTATCTATAATCATCAAAGAAACTTCCTGACTGATCAGTAATTCCATATTCTGCTCAAACCCAAATGCTGTTAAATGCTGCTGTTTGATACTATCCAGCAGGAACGAGTCTCAAATCATCTTTCTGACTTCCCTTCCTGTGGTTTCCCATTAAAGTAATACAGGGCAGTAACAAAACACATACTCAAATTATTTCCATAAGGCAAATTGTTTGTATTCTTCGTTAACAATGGCAGTTGCAATGATTTTTTTAATACTATATTTAATTACAAATTTAAATGAAGAAGAATCATAAAATAACACTCTCTTCTTGAATGAAGCATGCTTATCTGCTTTAAAAATACACACCAGATTTCTTTTTTTATCTTTAGTTTCTACAGCATGCCCAACTGCATTCCCATAAGCTGGGAATATTTTTGACATCTATTAATGTAAAATGTTAGAAACAAAGCAATTGCTGTAGTCTCTAAAGCTATTCAGTCACATGCTAGAGCAGCCTTCCTGCTTTAAAGGAAGATGCATGGACCCCCAAAATAAACAGATGTGGAATTAATCATCCACAAAAAAAAAAAAAGCCCCTTCCAATTCAACCTGCCATAGCTCTACAAAAAAAAAGCTCAAAGGTATCAGTACTCCCCAGGTACACACAAAAGCTAAAGCACCCACATGTGTGCGAGAAGATGTATGTAAAACAGGGGAACCCACATCCACAGAAGAGGCTGTTCGTGCTTGTAACCAACACCAGCTGTGAGAGAGGAAATGTGTGCATGTAACTGTGAATGTGTGTGCACATGTCTATGGGATTTTAACTTTCTGAGATTAGTTTTAGGGCTGCATTTAGAAATTTGTAGGTGTACCTTAACATTTCTTAAGCACCTAGTATTATGGTTTATCTAATGTATTGCTGATGTTGGCCCTAAATATATACTGATTTCTAGTTAATGATGTTGTTAATAAATCAGCAAACTGCTTCCATCCTGATGTGTTTAAACCATGGGAATTGAGTGAGGTTTATTTAATGGAACTTCTGCATTTCACAGAGTAATGATTACCAAACTTCATTTGAGGTTTCCAAAGTGAATGGATTCATGGAGATGCAGAGTTCTCATTCTTTACAGTTTACTACCTCAACTGTCCTTATCCAAATATTAAATGTCATATTTCATAGCTCTGGGCTGGAATGAAGGAAATTTCACTATGGGACATAGCTACAAAGTACATATTCCATTTCATCGATCTGACCTAAACTTTATCAGATTTCTTCCCAATTTCCAAGTGGAACTGCAGCTTTTCAGTGGAGAAAGCTCTCCCAAATTCAAAGGTCATGGAAGTTATGTGCATGCTTACAAATTATTTGCACTTAAAAGAAATATGAGAAAGGTCTACAAATACACAGATTACTATCCATTTTCAAATAACAGTCACAGGAGCTATGTCCTACCCTCCCTTGACACAGAACATGGCAAAATATTTTAAAAACAGTGATCTCAACATACTGCACTAGAGATACTCTATGGCATCAATTTCCCTTTTCTATTGGCTCTGAATCCAGACTCCCCAGTTGCTTTATCAAACAAATACTACTCTTGATGCAGCAGACAACGCTTTTAGGACATCAGTAAACTGCAAGTTTAAAAGGCAGAAGTCTGTAGCTTCTGTTTTCGCTGGTTACCCATGAATTAGAAGACATACACATATATAGTTAATATGAGAAGTCAAAACATCAAAAGTTAACTACATTGCAGGGCTGCAAAGTGAGCTTAATTAATATTTCTGCAACAAAAGACCAAAAGCCAGACTACCAGATTCAAACTCTTCAACTTGGTGGTCTAGGGCCAACTTCATTGTGAACAACTCTGAAAATTAAATTCATGTCTTTTACACATTAAAAACATCTTTTAGCTGTTGTAAAGACTTGAATAAGCATTAACATTTCTGCTAAGGCAGTAATTCAGTAAGAGCTGGCCTAAGGATATCTGAATCCAAAAGCTAATGTAAATCCAAATTAAACATTGCCTACATCTTTTGTTTTCAGACCTGGTACGAAATTCTCATTCCTTTCTCTCATATGGACCCAAACAGGATTTTCCAGTCACAGACCTGCACTCTGTGAAGAATGCCAACAATCCAGCAGCTGACAAATTCAAACAAAAGCAGCTACATTTCCAACAACATCAAGTTACAATCAACACAGGGCAGCTACAGCAGAAGTTAAATACTAAAACATAAGTCACAGGACAAATTACATAAAAGGTCACATGCACTGACAAAACCAGAAGAAAATCCATTCATCTAGAAGATGTTTCTGATGTTGAGGAAGTGACAAGTAGCTTTTACATATGAGGACACCACCATCCACTTGCAGTGTCAGGCTTGGTGTTGTGGCAGGACCTGCTTTATATCCAATGTCCCGCTTCTTCTGAAATCTGTCTGAAGATCTGCTCCTCACCTGGGTAAGCCTCAGTCTTTCCCAGTATAGCCAAATGTTTATTCCCCATCTATCCCAATATGAATGTCTCACCTTAGGAATCAACAGTTTTTCTGGATTTACCATCATTGCCTGGTGTACAAGATACTTTGGAGATTGGTAATGCCAGTAGTTAAGGGAAAGTACAGGAGAATCATCCAGTCTGAATTTGTCTCTTCCAACAGACAATGACACTGTATTCCAAATTGATACTTCAAAAATTAAAACTTTTATAATGACTTATACATTTGTTATCTCACAGCAAAAGATGAAACAAAGTAAACCAAACCAAAAATAACCTACAGAAAAGGCAACTTTTGTTGTAGTTAATTTTTACTAACCTTTCTCTCACCAAGGACCAAATAAGGTATTTTATCGACTTCTCATCTGCATTGCTCTGGTAATCACCACATAAAGCAGTAATATGAAAACACTTGAACCAATCCATTGTTTCCACTGCAAACAAAATGGAAAAGCTAAAATAGCTACTCACCAGATTCTCTTCAAACCACTCCCGCAGACGCACTGCTGTGGCCCCTGGAATTTGATTTCGCAATGCTTCTTTCTCCTGAGGATCCTCCAGCATTTCCAGTGCCATCTTTAGATCTTCCAGAAGATGCAGGATTTGAAATGTGCCCAAGTACACTGATGGAGCAGGTGACACAATGTCATAACCACCATTAGCATACTCTGTAGCTGACTTTGTACCTAAAACAAGTAAAACCAGGAGAAAAATAACATTATATAATTGACTTTGTACCTAAAACAAGTAAAACCAGGAGAGACAATAACATTATATAATTGTTTTGTAGGTGACAAATACGTAGATACTACACACTACAACTTTCGGACTTCAGATGTTCACGGACAAATACTAGTATTTCAGGCTTAGGTATTGTTGCAGAATTAGAGGCTCTCTGGGTTGAAACAAGAATAGATCAGTTGGTGGGAATCTGAAAAGTCCCAAGAATAGGTGTTTTGAGAACTAGACGAGTGTTTGGAGAACTAGACACTTGAGAAAAATAAGGGCCAAACAGCACCTGCTATGGGAGGCATGAGAATGGAAATATTGTTATGAGATTTAGAAGGAGAAGAATTTAGAAAATAAGATATGTTAACTAGCCAATAATAATCGTGTGAACAATGTGTGTTTTAAATGTGTAACCAATAGCTATTAAAATAGTTAAATATGTTTTAAGTATGTATCCAATGATGTGTGAAATAGTAAAACATATTATAATTATTAGACTGCATAAAAATCTGTGTGATGGCTAATAAAGTTTGAAGCTTCCGACATCATATTGGTGGGGACGAAGTTTCCTTTGGAGGTCTCGCACGTGTTACATCTGGTGCCCCGTGTGAGGAATTTCGTCTGGGAACGGAGTTCGGAATATACGGAGTCCAGTGATTGACAGCACATATCCGTATCGGAAGATTGTTGCTGTGGCGAAAAGGCGAGGTGTCTGCTGACTGGCTGTGGTACTGCGGGCCGCAGTTTCAGGAGCCCACAGAGGCGAAGCCCAAAGAGGCGGTGAGTTGAAGCAAGCGCTTGCAAAATATTCAGCAGACAACATGAGATATGCGGTATCCGCAGTTGAGCGAACAACGCTCAGATGTATGCTATATTTAGCAAAAAAGATCGGAGTTGAGGTGAAAACGAAGGCAAAGATGCCGGAGCTGAGGGCTCGGCAGTGCCTGGAGCTGCGGCGGCAGCTGGGGGCTGATAGCTCAGCCCTCACCCGGGCACTGCGGGAGGAAAACACAAAGGATAGAGAGGAGCAGAACGAAGCGGCACCGCGAAACGGCAGAGCGAAGTATCAGCGGTGCGTGACAAGCACTGGCGGGGCGGGACGGCTCGGCTCTGCGGGCCGGGGCCAGGACCGGGGTCGGCTGAGATCGGTCAGCTGAGACCGGTCGGCTGAGGTCGCGATTGAAAACCTTTTTACCCACCCCCCCGCACAAAGTGAGCTGGAGACAAGCCGAAGCAGGGAAGTGAGCAATCAGTCGCTATGACGACCATTCACTCTAAAAATCCATAAAATCAGTGAACAACATTCTTTGAACTTTTAACAATGTTAATGAAATTAAACAAGAGGCAAAAATATGTTTGCTTTGCAAGTTATAATTTCAACACAACCGTCACTCACAGATAGAAGACACGGAGTTAAACATTACTAACTCTAAGACTGAAAAACAAAAGCTTGTGTAAGAGTAGTATCTGAAACCTTTCAAACACATGAACTCCCTAAAACTTTTGCTGCTACTGTGAAAATTGAAGCAACATCTCACTCACAGTACCTATCCAAGTTTACTTTCCGAGGACGGCAGGGCCGGTTACAGTCACCTTAAGCAGACGGAACCAGGAACCCGACTAACTCAGAGACTTTTAATCCTAAAGTGGTGGGTTCGAGCCCCACGTTAGACTCGCCAGAGCAACAGGAGGACGAGATGGGATTCCCAGACTGAGTCTATCGTTTTCTCCCCCTCTGCAAAATTGCCTGACTTCTCTCATTTGTTTCTGCTACGATAGCCACTTAAAACTGACTGAACTATTAATAGGAATGATTTATAAGCCTTTTGTTAACAGTAGAAACAACTGGAAGAGCCAGCACAAAACGGGACGGCTATGCAGAACCACACTGAGAGCAGAGCGAGGCCAGTGCAAAGTGAACAGAGCGAAGGCGGGGCCTGGCCGAGCGCTCGGAGCGGCAGTGCCGGGACGGGGATCGGGCTCTCCGGGAAGCGCGGGCCGTGCAGGGGGAGCAGCGGGAGCGGCTGGAGCAGCTCCAGGAGCAGGAAGAGCGTTTGGAGCAGGCGCGGCTGAGCCTGGCCCAGCAGCGGCGGCAGCTCCAGCGGCTCCGGCAGGAATTGTCACCTCCAGGGACGGGGACCGAGATCCTGCCGGGCACGGAGCAGCTGATCCCGGGGGATGCGGTCCCGGGGGAACGACTCCACATCCCGCTGGCTCCCGCAGCTCCCGGCACTCCGGGATTGCTCCCGACATTCCTGCCTCCCGTGGAGATGATCCTGGGGGGCTCCAGGGACCCCCTGTGGGGCTCCAGGGACCCCCTGTGAGACTCGGCCGCGCTCCACGGGCACCTCCTGCTACTGAAACACCAAGCACAGGCGGGGCCACTGTTACTGCAGCTCCGCGGCGAGTGCGGAGCCGAGGCTCTGCGGGCTCCGGGACAGAACGGGACACACTACTCCCTAACAGAATCGGGCCCCGCCACCCGCGGTGAAGAGTCCTAGAATTAACCCAAAACTACAAAGTTCGGCAATTGTAGTGTTACCGGCACAACTTTCTCGACAGTGTAACAAAGTTGCCGAAACTGCAGCTGCTAAACTGAACTTAAAAAAAAAAAAAAAAAAAAAAAGGGATTTCCATGTCTGTGACTAATACTATTATTCATTTAGGTTAGACTTTATATTCCTTGTATTGATTCCTCTTCAAAATAAGTACAGTTATTACTAAACATGACTATAGAGATGGCAAACTGAGAAGCACACAGCCAGTAATACTTAGGATATGAGATGTGTAGTTGAAATGCAAAAATATAATAAAAATTCTAGCTATGTGTGAGTGAAGAGTGATTGAGGTGGCCACCTTTTTGAATGACTGGGAAAAAAGCTGTATGAGTGAGAAAAGCTGTGTAGATATCTATGTGTGTGAACTTAAAATACTTTAAGAGTATTAAGATTTTAAGAGGATGTGTTATATAAATTTAATTATGGTAAGTTGATGCATGCTAGCCTTCAAAGATTAGAAACAAGAATCAAAAAGTTGCAAATTGATGCTGGTCAAGATTAACTAACTAGTCTGTTTAATAGCTGAGAACTATCAAAATGACTTTTGTCTATAATCAAAACAAGATTACTTGTATTGCTTAATGATTTAGTAAAAATGGCTGTTATGATAAGTATAGTTATACTACTTTTTATAATTTTTGTACCATATATTCTGCAATACTTAGAAAGAATAGTTACAAGAATGATAAAGAATGTATGGGTTGTAAATAAAGAAAAAGGGGGAGATGTTGCAGAATTAGAGGCTCTCTGGGTTGAAACAAGAATAGATCAGTTGGTGGGAATCTGAAAAGTCCCAAGAATAGGTGTTTTGAGAACTAGACGAGTGTTTGGAGAACTAGACACTTGAGAAAAATAAGGGCCAAACAGCACCTGCTATGGGAGGCATGAGAATGGAAATATTGTTATGAGATTTAGAAGGAGAAGAATTTAGAAAATAAGATATGTTAACTAGCCAATAATAATCGTGTGAACAATGTGTGTTTTAAATGTGTAACCAATAGCTATTAAAATAGTTAAATATGTTTTAAGTATGTATCCAATGATGTGTGAAATAGTAAAATATATTATAATTATTAGACTGCATAAAAATCTGTGTGATGGCTAATAAAGTTTGAAGCTTCCGACATCATATTGGTGGGGACGAAGTTTCCTTTGGAGTTCTCGCACGTGTTACAAGGTATACTTGCATTAGTCTCTAGATAAATCACAAGCACTGGAGAATTAAATGTGAAAGGAATGTACAAGCATATTAAAAAAGAATTTTGACCTAGAAAACATTTGCAATGTCTGTTAAGCCCAAAACCTTGTCTCAAGTCACCTGTAATTTTCACGGTTGCCATGAGATGTCACTAACTTCTCAGCTACACAGAAGTCCCTACAGCACAGTGTTAAGCAATGTAAGAACAACGGATGCAGTCCTTTGAGAAGAAACTTAGATTGATATAGATCACGTTACCAGATCTAGAAAAATATATGACTGTGGTCAGGTTTAAAACTCCCACAAAGAACAACCCACCAGAAGTCAGCAATAAAAGCAGCAAATAAAACTTTGCTAGCTCTCTAAATTACAAAAAGATCTCTAAATTACAACACCTCCCTCCGGCTAGCCCTCCAGCACCAATATTATTTTCTTGACAACATTAAGCACAGTAAAAAACATATCTCACTTACGGAAGGATTATAAACAATACAAATTCTAATATCTCTAAATCTTTTTGTCTTAATACCTTGTGTTTCAATGAGATGCACAATTAAACTCTCTTTTCTCAGTCCTGAATTTCAGACCTTAGTATCATTCAATATCTATTTGTTTCTTTAAGAACTAGTCAGGTGGAAAACTATCTGCTTGACTTTTTAAAGTTTTTATTTCAATTCATTGCTTTGTGTATGTAATAGGGTGTACAGATGTCTTCATTCATGTTCTCTCTGGCATAAGCCATCCTATTTCCCCCCTTTATTAACCATAATGGAGATTTTTTTAGGGTTTTGATCATTCACACTTCACTGGATTCATGCAGTGTTCATTAGAAGACTACATAATTGATGAATACAAGAGTATTATAATAATCTCCTTATTATTCTTCATTTTACCCCTATGTTTAACATAATTTACATCTTAGTTATGAAAGGAATAAAAATCTTCACTGGGCCTCTGAAAATTATTTGCTAATTTTTTTTTCCCTGAGCTGACATATCTATGGGATGCATAAACATGCAAGGAATTCAAGTTTTCTTCTCGAATGCACACTCCTTTGCATTAATCAATGTTAGTTTGCCTGCTACAGTCATTTATCTACCATGATTCAGACAACTATGTTTGGACCCAATGTTTCATTTTACTCGTAGCCTGAAACACAACTCCTGAATACACTGACACTAGGTGTTAGTACCCTGAAATG